GCATTGGGTCGCATCCTGGGGAATGATCAAGCACTGCGTCGCATCCTGGGGAATGATCAAGCATTGGGTCGCATCCTGGGGAATGATCAAGCACTGGGTCGCATCCTGGGGAATGATCAAGCACTGGGTCGCATCCTGGGGAATGATCAAGCACTGGGTCGCATCCTGGGGAATGATCAAGCACTGGGTCGCATCCTGGGTAATGATCAAGCACTGGGTCGCATCCTGGGAATGATCAAGCACTGGGTCGCATCCTGGGGAATGATCAAGCACTGGGTCGCATCCTGGGGAATGATCAATCACTGGGTCGCATCCTGGGGAATGATCAAGCATTGGGTCGCATCCTGGGGAATGATCAAGCACTGGGTCGCATCCTGGGGAATGATCAAGCACTGGGTCGCATCCTGGGGAATGATCAAGCACTGGGTCGCATCCTGGGGAAGGATCAAGCACTGGGTCGCATCCTGGGGAATGATCAAGCACTGGGTCGCATCCTGGGGAATGATCAAGCACTGGGTCGCATCCTGGGAATGATCAAGCACTGGGTCGCATCCTGGGGAATGATCAAGCACTGGGTCGCATCCTGGGGAATGATCAAGCACTGGGTCGCATCCTGGGGAATGATCAAGCACTGGGTCGCATCCTGGGGAATGATCAAGCACTGGGTCGCATCCTGGGAATGATCAAGCACTGGGTCGCATCCTGGGAATGATCAAGCACTGGGTCGCATCCTGGGGAATGATCAAGCACTGGGTCGCATCCTGGGGAATGGTCAAGAACTGGGTCGCACCCTGGGGAATGGTCAAGCACTGGGTCGCATCCTGGGAAATGATCAAGCACTGGGTCGCATCCTGGGGAATGATCAAGCACTGGGTCGCATCCTGGGGAATGATCAAGCACTGGGTCACATCCTGGGGAATGATCAAGCACTGGGTCGAATCCTGGGGAATGATCAAGCACTGGGTCGCATCCTGGGGAATGATCAAGCACTGGGTCGCATCCTGGGGAATGATCAAGCACTGGGTCGCATCCTGGGGAATGATCAAGCACTGAGTCGCATCCTGGAGAATGATCAAGCACTGGGTCGCATCCTGGAGAATGATCAAGCACTGGGTCGCATCCTGGAGAATGATCAAGCACTGGGTCGCATCCTGGAGAATGATGAAGCACTGGGTCGCATCCTGGAGAATGATCAAGCACTGGGTCGCATCCTGGGGAATGATCAAGCACTGAGTCGCATCCTGGGGAATGATCAAGCACTGGGTCGCATCCTGGAGAATGATCAATCACTGGGTCGCATCCTGGGGAATGATCAAGCACTGGGTCGCATCCTGGAGAATGATCAAGCACTGGGTAGCATCCTGGGGAATGGTCAAGCACTGGGTCGCATCCTGGGGAATGATCAAGCACTGGGTCGCATCCTGGGGAATGATCAAGCACTGGGTCGCATCCTGGGGAATGATCAAGCACTGGGTCGCATCCTGGGGAAAGATCAAGCACTGGGTCGCATCCTGGGGAATGATCAAGAACTGGGTCGCATCCTGGAGAATGATCAAGCACTGGGTCGCATCCTGGGGAATGATCAAGAACTGGGTCGCATCCTGGGGAATGATCAAGCACTGGGTCGCATCCTGGGGAATGATCAAGCACTGGGTCGCATCCTGGGGAATGATCAAGCACTACAAACTACTGAGCAGCTGGAATGTCTCTCAAAGGACCTAATGATGCACATTCTGTACCCGAAGGAAAACAACATCTACAACGGCTTCAGCATCTACAATACTCACAACAACAACCAAACCATCTACAACAACCTCTACAACAACATCAACTACAGCATCAACAACAACAGCCTTACAAAAAAAATCGCCTCAGACGCGAGAATATGCAACAACGAAAATTATTGTATTGAAAGAAAGCCAAGAGTAAAACTCTCTGGGATGTTCTTGTGCTGACTGTAAGTCGTCTCTTGAAGCTCTTAAGAGAGGCCAGGCTCTTGTACCTCCAGGGCGGCCTCCACGACCTCCTGCGCTATACTGTGAGGTTAATGTTCATTTGGAGTCCATAACACACAGTGGAAATTAGGTAAAGTGGAGGTGGGGGATTGTGGGAGGAGGGGGAGTGATGGAGTTGGAGGGAGAGTGAGGGTGAGTGAGGGAGGGAGAGTGAGGGAGATATTTAAGGGTCACAGTTGGTGCCACTGACATTACCAGGTCACACTAGGGGTCACAGTGCCATTGACTCTTCCAGGTCACATTAGGGGTCACAGTGCCATTGATACTACCGGGTCACAATAAGGGTCACAGTGCCACTAATACTGCCAGGTCACCATGGAGGTCGCAGTGCCATTGATACTACCAAATCACACTAAAGGTCACAGTGCCAGTGATACTACCAGGTCGAACAAGGAGTCACAGTGCTATTGACATTACCATGTCAAACTAGGGGACACAGTGTCATTGACACTACCAGATCACACTAGAGGTCACAATTCCATTGATACTACCAGGTCACACTAGAGGTCACAGTGTCATTGACACTACCAGATCACATTAGGAGTCACAATGCCACTGATACTACAAGGTCACACTATTGGTCGCAGTTGGTGCCATTGCCACTACCAGGTCACACTGGGGGTCACAGTGCCACTAATACTACCAGATCACACTAGAGGTCACAATTTCATTGATACTACCAGGTCACACTAGAGGTCACAGTGTCATTTACACTACCAGATCACACTAGGGGTCACAATGCCACTGATACCACCAGGTCACACTAGAGGTCACAGTGCCACTAATACTACCAGGTCACGCTAAAGGTCGCAGTGCCATTGACACTACCAGATCACACCAGGGGACACAGTGCCACTGATACTACCAGATCACACTAAGGATCACTGTACCACTGATACTACCAGTCACACTAGGGATCACAGTGCCACTGATATTACCGGGTCACATTAGGAGTCACAGTTGGTGCCGTCAATGCAGCCAGGTCACACTTGGGGTCACAGTTTGTGCCACTTATACAAACACGTCACACTAGGGGTCACGACAGGTGCCACTGATACAACCTGATCACACTAAGGGCCACAGTTGGTGTCACTAATGCAACCAGCTCACGCTAGGTGTCACAGTTGGTGCAACTGATACAACCAGGTCACACTAGGGGTCATAGTTATACTGCTTGTAAAATCTTTCCCCTCCCCCACAACAGGTCTCTCTCTCTCTCTCTCTCTCTCTCTCTCTCTCTCTCTCTCTCTCTCTCTCTCTCTCCTCTCTCTCTCTCTCTCTCTCTCTCTCCTCTCTCTCTCTCTCTCTCTCTCTCTTCTCTCTCTCTCTCTCTCTCTCTCTCTCTCTCTCTCTCTTCTCTCTCTCTCTCTCCCTCTCTCTCCTCTCCTCTCTCTCTCTTTCTCTCTTTTTTTACACAAGGCTTGACAAGGTTAGATTAAGGATTCCTAACTTTATTGGCAAGCTATTTACAGGTTAAGGATTCCTAACTTTATTGGCAAGCTAAGAGCTGTTACCTACATCAGCTCATTTGAAAGCATTTTTATTGTTATGAGACATACAAGCAGGGAACAGGATGAAGTTGGAGCCATCTGTGGGCCAGCATTTTCATTTGATCAACTGACTTTATCTCATTGACATCATTATGTTGTACGAATGTGTTCCATACTCAAGTCATCCTGGGTGTATATGATCTCAGATGGAGTGATGTCCTGGAGAAGGGTACAGCCAGAGTGAAGTTGCTACTTTCTGCCCGTCTTGTGGTATAAAAGCTTGCTTCTCGCTGTCCTCGAAGTAGAGCCTTGTACATAACAGTAAGGCCGCCCACATCTCTCCTGTGATGAAGACTCTGCTGAAATGACAGATCTATCCAGGATGAGTCCAGGCGAGAGATGAGACGTCTTGTTCTGTTCTCTACTCTGTCAGGCAGTCGCAGATGAGAGGGGGGCAGGCAAACCAAGAAAGTGGAGCATACTCAAGGTGTGAGCGTACTTTTGCCTCATACAGAATCTTGCAACCCCTACTGTCAAGCAGATGCGAGATACAGCGAAGTGCTATAAGCTTCCTGGCTGCCTTGTTTGCAAGATTTACAACATGGTTCTTCATGGTTTGTTTGGAGTCAAATTTCACCCTAAGGATATCAACTTCTTCTCCAGGTGCCAACATCGTCCCATTCATCCTTACTACTGCACCAGCATTACCATCATGGTGTCTAGAGACGATCATCATTTGCGTTTTCTCAGGTGCAAATGTTACTTGCCATCTATTTCTCCAAGCTGATATAGCTCTTAGCTGGTGATTGATGTAGCTTAGAGCAGCTGGCATTTCTTCTCTTGGATAAGTGAATGTCAGTGTACAGTCGTCTGCATATGCATGTGATTCTGGGATGAGATGAAGAAGGTCGTTGAAGTAGACATTCCATAACAATGGACCCAGCACGCTTCCTTGTGGAACGCTTGCCCCAATAGTATGTCTTGCTGATTTTGTTCCATTTAGAACTACCCTGGCCACACTAAGGGTCACAGTTGGTGCCACTGATGCAACCAGGTCACACTAGGGGTCACAGTTATTCTGCTTGTAAAATCTCTCCCCACCCCCACAACAGGTCTCTCTCTCTCTCTCTCTCTCTCTCTCTCTCTCTCTCTCTCTCTCTCTCTCTCTCTCTCTCTCTCTCTCTCTCTCTCTCTCTCTCTCTCTCTCTCTCTCTCTTCTCTCTTCTCTCTTTCTCGCCCTCTCTCTCGCTCTCTCTCGTTCTCTTTAACAGCTTCAATAACATCACACTTCTTGCGTTAGTAAAATCAATAACGCACACCATGCGTCATTAACATCATACATCTTATCTCAATAACAGGAAATTATCCCATCATCAGTAACAGAATAATGTCATTAATAACATCAATAACAGTATGAATAACAACATTAATAACATCAATAACAGTATGAATAACAACATTAATAACATCAATAACAGGATAAATAATATCAATAACAGCATTCAAAATTTATTGAAAGATTTATACTTTTTTGGAATACATTAAACATTAATATTTAACATTATTTTACAACCCTGGGGAGGGAGGGAGAGAGAGAGAGAGAGAGAGAGAGAGAGAGAGAGAGAGAGAGAGAGAGAGAGAGAGAGAGAGAGAGAGAGAGAGAGAGAGAGACAGACAGACAGACAGACAGACAGACAGACAGAAAGAGACAGCAAGGTTTAGTGCTTACAAAATGTTCCTGGTATGAGATCTAGAGAGAGAGAGAAAGAGAAAGTGAAAGAGACTCAGGGGAGAGACAATTAACGTGAGAGACTTAATTAACCCGCGATCACCGTTATTATAACTCACATAATTCCTAACTTTCTTTTGGCAGTTATCTCAAAATATAATGAAAAAGAGTTAAAAAGATAATGAGCAAGACGTATGGAATATCTCCATTGTATAATACAGATATCCATGAGATTGTACCGTACAGATATCCATGGGATTGTACCGTACAGATTGCCATGGGATTATACCGTACAGATATCCATGTTATTGTACGGTACTTGTTATAGTACGGTACACAGGCCCATGTTATCATACGGTACAGAAATCCATGTTATTGTACAGTACATGTTATCGTACGGTACACAGGCCCATGTTATCGTACGGCAGAGACATCCATGTTATTGTACGGTACAAAGTTCCATGGGTTTGAGCACAACTAGAAAAACACCTGTTATCTTAAATATAAGAATTCAGTCACTGAACTGGATCAAATGAAGATTTTCTAAGTGTTGACCCTGATTGTACCTTTAAAAAAGGATGGAAACGTCGCAGTGACGAGAAAACGGGCGAAAAGAGACACGTTGTAAGGGAGCCAAAAAAAAGAGCTTTTATTGGGGCAACGTTTCGCTCTGTGTAGAGCTTCATTTTGACATGTTTAAGCCTTAGGGCGAAACGTTGTCCAAGTAAAAGGTTGCTGTGCAACGAGTGTCCTTTCGTGTTGTTCAGGTGGGAGTGGATCTCTTTGTACCTGGGATAAAACAGTATTGTCTTTGGCCTGAGGTAGGTAGCATGGGAGACACTGAACAAGACTACTAAGCCAGTCAACATGGGAGTGATTGATACTAATCCAGTTAATGTGTGGGAGTGACTGGTGCTAGCCTAGTTTACATGGGAGTGAGGGGACAGGAGAGGGAGTGTCGGGGGGGGAGATTCTAATCTATAGTTAATATTAGTGTGGGACTAGACCAGCTAACATAGGCGTGAGGGAAGGAGAGCTACCTACCTACCTACCTACCTACTTACCTACCTACTTACCTACCTATTTACCCACGACATTCATTGCTAGGCAGACTCTCTCTCTCTTGGTTTATTTGATAAATGTTTATGTACATGCTAATATATAGTGTGTTTCAAAACGATGGACCTGTTCGTGAAATATACTGCTTTGAAATTGGACCCATCATTTTGAAACACCCTATATTTTTTTAATAGTCTTCACTCAGTTCTGTAAAGCCCAGAGTGGAAGTTCCGGACGCTAGAGTTTCTACCCACACTCTACCCACACTCTACCCAAACTCTACCCACGGGAGAACGGGTAAACAACGTTTGTCCACAATGATTTATCCACACGATGTAGTCGCTAGTATTTTGTGTGGTGTTTTTCCCCAGGTTTGCACGCGAGTTTGGTGTTTGGTACACACACACACACACACACACACACACACACACATACACACACATCAATAAACCCGTCACAAACACACACACAGGAGCTGTGACTCGACCCCTGCAACCACATATGGGTGAGCACACGCACACTCACACACGCTCTCATACACACACACACACACACACACATACACACACACAGAGAGTGGACCTAGTAGCGACCAGCGAAGAAGCTGGGCCAGGTGCTGTGACGCGACCCCCGCAACCACAAATAGGTGAGTACTCTCCAAACAGGCTAAGTGTCTATTGACAAGCGCCTTTGATACCTATTGATTATACACACACACACGCACACACACACACACACACACACACACACTGCTACCAAGACATATTTTTAAATTCGCTTATCTGTGCATTTCCTTTTTGCCACACGTGTGGGGGAAACGTTGGTGCACGTTTCGACCCCACGATATTAAAACTACGTAGTGGATAGACTCTTGGATCCTAATGTCGCCTGCTTAGAGTGAAATGGTGCTAACTTAGAGCGAAACGTAGTCGAATTAAGGTTATTTCAGACTTATAAGTGTTGGTTCCAAGCATACAAACGTGGTTTCAGTCATTCACGGTTTTGGTCACACACGGTTTCAGTTACCCACGGTTTCAGATAGCCAGGTGCGGGGTTCACATGGCTCCTGGCTAAACATGGGCTGCTGCAGCAAGACGAGGGGCTTCCAGCGAGACGTTGAGGGTTCCAGCGTGGGGTTCTAGCGTGGGCTCCAACCACATGAGGGTTCCAGCAAGCCAGAGCAGACGCAGACCTCCAGCAAACGCAC